CAGTATACACGTACACGATATTCAAGATGGATCACATTCACATACAGTATACATGTACACGATATAAAAGATGGATCACATTCACATACAGTATACATGTACACGATATAAAAGATGGATCACATACACTATACATGTACACGATATAAAAGATGGATCACATTCACATACAGTATACGTGTACATGATATTAAAGATGGATCACATACAGTATACATGTACACGATATAAAAGATGGATCACATCTGCATGTCTAGCCAAGTATCCCCAATTTACAACTCCTTCCTACACCACTGTAATACACACTCCACGACTCTATGAAGCCTGGTCTTATTCTTTTGAGTTATTGTACTGTATGAGTTCCATATGTTGCAATAATTTTTGTTTAATAAATTCTGACAATGCTGTACAGAGACACGAAATCAGCTTATCCTTATATACGTAGGTGGGTTTACAGGGAGGAGGGGCAATTGCACCCCCAAATTTTTTAAGGTGGGATATAGTATAAACACAACATTCTTAATAATTAAGTCAGTCTTTCTGGCCCTCCAACACACACACAGTTTGATACCAAATCCCACTTATGCTAATGTATAATTCTGGAAATAAGTGGAATGTTGTAACAGAACTCTTAAGGAAATTCAGAGAAAATAATTAGTTGATCTTAGAAACATAACAAGCAATAAGGCATCCATTTAAACTAACAATAATATTTTTTTTACCAGTATTATGGGCATACCCTCCTCACCCCATATTTTGCATAAAACTGAGCAAAAATTTCTTGAGTCCTTGCCCTAAAATCCTGGGAACTTTAAAAACCAAGAAAATAACATTCTTTGATAGATTGTTTAGGCAGATCATTCATAATGAAATTTGGATCAATGGATGGCAACTACCTATTGTAGAAACACGAGTATAGAGGATGAGGTTTTGTAAGTCTTCTGCCTTTCGTCTTCTTCAATGCTTTTACAAATATACTTCTAACAGTATCCTCTTAACTAGTTAGAATAATACCTTCCTCGGTAGATTCTTTAACCAAGCTAATTCAAGGCAATTTAATCATTACAATCATAGTTCTCTCTGGTGTAATGATTTCTAATCAGTATTTCTAGTTATACCAGATTATATTTATTGTGTTTATTTTAAACTACTTTAGTTCTGAATCCACAAAATTAGCTTATTCTTTTAATATTCACCTTGCTTCATTAACTAATAATACACTTAATTAATATATATAACATCTTATACCTCTTCATCATCTTCTTCAGATTCTTCCTCAATTGGTTGTGAAATGGCAGCTCTTGTTGGTTCACCTACAGCCAGTCCTGGTTCAGGAGCTTTGAATTTCTCTGCTGCTGCCATCTGTGCTTGCTGACTAAGATCTTCAATCTTAAGATTATCAAAACAAACAATTTGAAAAAAACATGAGCTTCATAATTAGCCACTTCAAAACCTACGTGAAAACTTCTCATACGTCATTAAATACAGCCCTTTTAAGTAATTCACTTGACCCAGTTGCCATAATATCCCATACATTTTTGAAAGGCAAGAACATAACAGTTATTAATTTGACATCTAATTACAATGTAGCAACAGATATTAATTCATATAATTTGGGTTTAAGAAACTATCAGAACAGACAATGTTAAAAAAGACAGAAGCTACTAAAAACTATCTAAACAGATAACAGACATTACAAATCACAGAAGCTACTATAAACTATCAGATAAGTTACTAGCTGTTACAAAACACAGAAGCTTCTAAAAAACTATCAGAACTATCTTTCTAGAGTTTGGAAATATTTGTGCAGGTTTAGCTATATTAAAGTATTCCAATGGCAAATAAAAACTAATTATTTTTAACAGGTCATCATAACAAATTTATTAACTTACACCATTCCTTCCTTACCTTAGCTTCACCAAAGACAATATAAGTATCAGAAGCTGGACTTTTGTATACACTGGGTTTGGTGATCACAAACAGAATGTTTCTTGATTTACGAACGGTGACTCTACTAACCCCGGACACCTCCTTCAGTCCCAGTTTGGACATCACCTTTCTGGCTTTTTTCTCACTTCGGCTCTGTTTAGCTTTGCTGACCATTTCCTCTGTAATACCTGCTGCTTCAGCCATCTAAACCATCAATCCATTATTTGAATTAACCACTCAGGAAGGACAGATTAATAAATTGTAAATCAAATAGGTGTAATAGAATATTTATTTTTAATTATGACCATTAAAACTTCTTTTACTATCTGTTTTATAAATAATCTCATATTTAAAAGATAATATACTAATAAACAAATATTAAAAAATTATGAGTGGTATGAACCACAAACAAGTATAAATCCTATTTGCTCTAACCATATCTATGTAAACCTTTTGTGAAGGCAGGTTTCTTCTAAATTTTCCTTGTCTCAGTAAAACACTTTTAGCCAGAATGCTCAGCTAATGCTATTTACATTTGTGAATGCTGTTGGAGTTAGAATCAAGTATATTTTGTTTCACTTACTGTGTCTAGATCCACCATTATTAAAATACATTTTTTGTCAGAGTTTCTCAAGTTTTAGCTGGTGTATTTTATTACACTAGGTTTGAATGATAATACTTTTTGAATCACGTGTATAACTGTATAAGCTGAATGCTCCTATCATAAAAGCATCATGTAAAATAGCAATTTCACACATGAATTTCCAAAATTCATGCTGGAGAATGGAATACAGCAAATAGTGCACTGACAGTTTCTCAAATCTTTCCTCTTACATGTGCGAGTAATAATAAACATTTTAATGAATTTTCCCCTCTTTACTATTGTTGGTAAAGCTGCAAAATGAGGTATTCCATCAAATATTTGTCCTTCTTCCATAAAATCTGGTTCTTTTTAATTTAACCTTCTTGATATGGATAGATCAAAGTGTGCATGTCACAACCTTTTCATAGTTGCATTCAAAAATTTAAATTACTTTAATATCAATAAACTTGGCAACAAAATGTAGTTTGTAATTCAAATTTTAATATCTTCATTTGAAAACAATTAAATAAATTCTGAATCTTCAGTTTTACATATTATGTGACACTTCTTTGCTCTTAGCTGAACATTTTAAAATTTCTTTCTAAGTTTCTGAGAACTTACACAGTTATATGTTAGGTATCCTTGAACTATTATTCTTGCGTTAATAAATTATATGCCATAAACTGAAATTTGCATGCCACGCCCCTCCTATAACATGCTATCTTTATAAAATGTGAATAATTCTCTGATGTATGACAAAGAAGACATCTGACAGAGAAGATATTAGCTTAATGCTTTCCTTATGAAGTTAGTTCATTCTCATGATCAATTTTGAGTTATTCTGCATCAATTTCATAGTTTGCTATTGCAGAGGGCTCTTCAACCCAGTAAGGAAACTATTTTAACATACGTGTAGCTTAGTTAAAAAGCCAGTTAAATTATAATAGTTTAGGACATTGTTTTTTTTTTAGTATGTGTCCTCAATTGCATATTGAAAATATCTAAAAATCATGTAAAGTACTAGCAATATAATTACAAAAACTTTCATTAAGACTTCAAGAGCAAAAAGGTACAAGCCCCACATGTAAGTACTAAATGCCATTTTTCATGTATATACTTTATTTAGTGTTATAAAAGTAACTCAAATGTAAAAATTTGGAACTTATTAGGTCAGATAAAAAAAATTAAATTAAAAGCACAAAAGTACAAGCACGTTTTGAGCAACAGCATGTTGTAACTTGGTCAAGAATGCTGATAACTTGATACGTGTTTAAATAAACCCCAAGTGGCAGTAAAGTAATAAATCTAAATGACCACGTGACTTGTATTGTATTAGCTTCAACTGTAAGAATAAATTATGAAAAACAACTCAATACAGAAACCCAAATGCCATCTCTTTCTTTCAACAAGCAGTTGCAGTCAATTAAAATTTTCAAACTTACTATTTCTACACTGTCTAAAGATCCACTAAATAGTGTATAGTTGTTCATAATAATATGTAGTTATTCCACAAAGAAAAAGGGGTAATTTAGAAATATTTCATATTTTTTTATGTGGTTACAAGGTCAGTCAATTGTTTATTTGTTGAATTTTGAGCAAAGTTACCCAAGGACTATATGCATTAGCAACAGACTAGAGGAAAGGCAGCTAGTCAACACCAGCTATTGCCAACAATTTGGTTACTCTTTACCAATAAATAGAGGGATTGACCACTACATTATACCGTGCTCATGGCAGAAAGGGTGAGAATGTTCATTGACGGTATTCAAATCCATGAACCACCTACTGTGAGTTGGGTACCTTAACCGCCAGGCTATGCCATGCCTAGGTCAGTCAAATAGGGCAAGATAAAATATAAAATCTTACTGAAAAACACTTTTGATATTCATTTAGGAGATTCTAGAGGTTATGTAAATGAAATTTGAAAACTGTACAATAGAAAAACTATTTTTAAACTTTTTTAAAATGAAAATCACCTTGCACTCAGTCTAATCTGGACTTTGACTCCATAAATTCACAAACAAATCCTTTGTCAAAATACTTAATTAAAAAAATTTGATGTTTTGTGTATAAGATATAATGTTTTCTAAAATATATCATGAAGATACATTTACTATATTAAAAGTTAGAGTATGTTTAGTTTCACAGTTACATGTTAATTAAAAGATCAGTCAAAAATTACTGAGCCCATATACAGAGAGTTAATTGTTAAAACCATGTGGCCTAAAACATAAACAGAAAAATAACACAGAGAGCCTTTATATTTCAAACATCTGTAGAAACTAGAATACTCTAATAAACATAAAAACTTTAAAAGCTTTTTTTTTATGTATTACCACTGTGGTTGATAATATTAGATGTGCAATTTTGTGTGGTTCTTACAAGATCTGATCACCGTAAAAAAAACACATGCACAAAGTAGTCAATGATAAACAAATATAATACAAGAATTTATAAATTTGCAATAAACTAGGAAGATGAATAGTGAATAAAAATAATGCGTATATAGACTTCAGATATTTCACTGTTTTACTGTACTTCTGTTTTTAAGGTACTATGTTTGGAATATGTTAATTATATAAATTCTGTGAGATTAACACAGTCCACTCTGTACATTAAAACTCAGTTCATCAGCAAAGTTTGTGTAAGCAAGTTACGAGATCATTAAATTTGCTCATCACTACAAATATTTTGGACTGGTAGTTGTATACACTCAGTCTAATTTCTAATGGTTTAAAAGTTTGTTAAAACCAACATATAGTTTTGGTTCATCTGTTAACTTTTTTATTATTATTCATTATATAAGCTTGAAATAATTTAGAACAAAGCTGAAACTACTGACTTCCATATAAAAACATATATTCATAAAATACCAAACTCACCTGTTCCTGACTGGTTGATTGAGTCCCAGAAGTTTCTGGTTCTTCCAATTCAGGGACAGAATCTTCACTGTCAGAATCTGTACCCGATTCATGAGCTGAAAATTAAAAAATTTAAGCACATATTCATATATCTAATTAAAAAAAAACTTCTAACTGACATATAAAAAACTTCTCAATTCCCTGACTAAATTTTGCCAAGAAAAAAAACAACTGCTTTCCTGTGAATTACATCATCAAATAGAACAAAATATATTTGTAACTAACTAAAAAAAATAACACATCAGAACAAACATAAAACACTCATTTTTGACAAGCCAAGCTTGTCATTCTAAAAATACAGAGTAAAACTGTTTTCAAGTCACTAAGTATATATACTTTTTGTAAATTATTATGCTATGTTGTTTTCTTTTCACTAATACTTAACATGTTAATTTCTATATAATTTATCTGGTTTAACTATCACTAATTGTAAACTGAAAAGACTACAAGGAAAGCAGCAGCCAACATTCACCACCAATTCTTGGGTTATTTACTAGAATGGTCAGATCTGACTGCCACTTTTATAATGTACCCATAATCCCCCCCCCCCAAATAATTTTGCAGTAACAGGACACGAACCACAAACCCTCAGATTCACAGTCCAGAATCCTAACTACTAGACCTTGCCCAACCCAAATAAATACGAATATTGAATAATTCCATTAATATATGACGCTTTCTTTCAGGTTTCCAAAATATTTATTTACTTATAATCTACTGATCCATTTCTTGTAAACTTACCACTATCATTTGTTTTCACCACTTTCTCCTGTGCAGTTTCAACGTCAACAACACTGAGCTCTGGCATGGTTTGTGTATAAATGTACAATGAAGATTACAAAATGTGGAGAAAATTCTGTGAAAAAAAATAAAAACAGCTATTTTGGAAGTACTTCAAAGAATGTATGATCAAGTAATTTAGCTGTACTTATACTGTTTTAGTCATGTTAATATCTTAAATAAATTACTTGTCCCAATGTCATGTGACTGCAACTATACAGATTATCAGTCTGAATCAAGTGTTTGTTTCAAGATTTCTAAGATCTTCGTTACAATGTTATGTAGCCTTATCCTAATGCTTATAAATCTGAGAAACTTAAATAACTTTACACATTCAGAGATTACTCCAACAGTCATTAACATAAGAGTAATAACCTTACAGCAATTTAAAACTGTACAGGACTAATGGAGGTTTCCATGAAGTTATCTTATTATTTGAAACTAAGTTTAGCACCGTTATATTCAGAAGTGGTTCATACACTTTCACTAGTTCACAAAACTTGGAAAACTCACTTCTAGATTAATTGCTTTTACTAATGATGAATAATAAACTTTTTATTTTAAAATGTATTATTGAAGAGTACTAGTGTATCCATGTACAAAACTTCAGAGGTTTTGATTAACTAGAAACGACGTGCACTGATTTCAAAACTGGGCAGAAGCCTGTTTCCTTAATGAAATAATTCTGGAAAAAAAGTCAAAAGAATAAACAAAGAAACTTGAAATTAATTATCCATAATACCATGTGTACAGTCTTATGATATCGGCAATCATATCATAAACTTGTAAAATACAGGGCAATTACACCCATCTTTATTATAAAACTAATCACAAGTGGCTAGCTTTGAAATCTGATAACATTATTAAAAAGCAAAATACTTCATTTTTCAATTTTGTTGACACAGTTCACCATTCAATATATCACTGAACTGTTTAAGAGTACACAAAGCCATGTGGTTGCTTCATACGGTGATTATGATTAAAAGACAAGTTTTACTCTTTTAATATATGCCATATGCAAGACAAACCACAATCTAAGTAAATGTGTAATTCTAATTTAGGCAAATATCAAAAAAGCAAGTAATAATGTCAATTAAACAATGAACACTTTCTGAACCTAAAAACTGAGTACTGAAATTGTATTTACATTTTTTTAATTTTTTGCTGATAATTCTTGCATTAACAAAAACAAATAACAAGGGAAAAATTAAGTATTCAAGTTAGAAATAACTAAAAAACTTTCAAAAGATGAATAACAACACAATGGAGTCTTTAATACTTTTTTTTTTCCAAAAGTGGTTAAACAGTGGAGAAGTTCTGATTTAGAGACAGCAATGTAATCGTTATTTTCTATAAAAATAGAACCCAAAACAAAAACCCCAAATTTGACACCTGTTGTTAGCAATATGTTGGAATGAGCTCTACTAGTAGGGCTGATGAGCATATCAATCAACCCTACTAACTATGTTGGAATATGTTGTTAAAAATAATTTTAATAATTAAATAATTTATTTATTTAAATAATTAAATAAACACTAAGGAGCACTTTTAGAAATGTTTTCCTACCTCATAACATATGTTTATGTTTTGAATAAAAACATCCAAGTATATGTTGTATATCTTGAATTTTAGAAAGAGATTGATGTCACACAAGATACATTTGCCAATCTTATAGGACTGGTGAAAAATAGATGCAAATAAAAATATCATTACCCGTAACAAAAAAAAGGGTGGGAAGGATGGTGGTAAGTACACTTTTCAACTGAGCCTGAATGCTTCTAGTGAAACTTCAGAAGAATTTAGGGATCTTTATTATATATGTGAACAATATGTACATATATTTATTAGATCAGACAGTTCTAAATTTACCATTGAATAAAATACAGGAAAAGTGACTAAATAAAAATATTTTAATTTAAAAGGACTTAAGAGTTTCAATATTGTTAAGTGTAAAATGATACAATATGTCTGGCTAAACTGATACTAAGAAAAGCTTAACAGTCACTATACATCAACTGTGATTTTCTTTGTATATTTCAAATGCTATGAAAGCTTAGTCTTCCACCAGACAGTCAACTCAAAATAACAGTTAAAACCTTCAGGACTTAAAAACTAGAGCACATATTTTGAGTTATTTGTAACGAGTGTAACAAAAGTTACACACACACTGAAATTACTAAAATTCATAAGAAAAAATACAGTATTCATATATTATTATTAATACAAATGCCAAGTTAAAGTCACTAACACTTAACATAATTGGATTTCAAGACCTCAATTAAGATAGAATACATATCCTAATAGTAATACATGCTCAGGTGAAGACAATGGAGAAGTCATTAAATCCACAATATCTTTTGACTAATTAAATCCTAGCATACTGTTCGTATTATTGATATTATATAGTCACTACTGGTACTAGGACTAATTCAATAACCAAGTCTAATCATTGACAGTAACACTAACAATACCAGATTATCAATATCAGTAACTGCTGTATTACTTTAATATTACTAGTAATAAAGTATAATACTTAGAAAGACTATGTACTAAAGTTTAAGTAACGAAGTTACGAACTATCAGTATTACTTGGAGTGTAAATTGTATTTTGTAAGACAAAACAGAAATGCGTTTTTCATTTTCAAAATTCATGCAAGAATCAATTTACACATATCGAACAAATATAAACAAAAAATAAAAGTCATGATATGTGTTAAAATCGTTAAACAAATTCACGTGTAATATTTAAATTAAAAAACAAGTATAATTACACAAATAAATCAAAAACAGTTCTCACACTACACAAAGCCTCTAGCCTTATCCCTCCACAGCACGAGGTTAATGTTAACATACCCAGTAGGTGGCAGCCATATCAATTTTATTTGTTATGTAATATTTCTATGTTTCCCAATAATAATAAAGTGGTAGTATCACATTTAATAAAAAGTTTGTTTAGATATCACGAAATATGGAGTATCGACGGCTTTGCTAGCCATTCACTACCAGCCAAAAATTCTTTTTAATTTATAGCTTTAAACTACTTTGTGTGTATAGATTCTTCTTGAAGGTAATATAATTATTTGCGTGAATGTTTTTGAGCGTTGAATTAATTCATGATATACTTCGAAGATTGTATATCCTCAAAATATATACTTTAATACCTTACGAAACTTAAAAGACACTCAGTGAGTGACATCCTCGTTACACATTTTTTGTGAATTTTGAAAAACTAACCTAGATTATTTACCAAATAAATCCCCGCTCTAAAAATAATGTAGGTCTATGAGTTAAGATCCTCTAACTCAAATGCCCATTGGTTTCCATCATGACTAAAGTAGTTGACCTTTAGTGTAACCTTGAACTTTAATGTACATACACCAAAGGTTAAACAATTGATCCTTGGGAGAGGTTAACTTTATATCAACGTTGATCAAAATCAGATGAAATATTTTCAAGTTATCTTTCAAACACAGAGAAACAGATGCTCAGACACACATATAGGATTCGGATTGAAAACAATATCCTCGTCCATTTTATAATTGCAAAAGTTAAGCTATAAGTATATATAATCAAAACTGTAATTGTATCATTTTATTTTATTTTTCGGAACATAAACAAACAATATTAATTAAATGATAACGCTTTTTCTACTAAGAAATTTTGTACCCTTGTATAGCCAATATTACAATAGTCTTTAAAATGATTTATTTATTCCAATTTACTAACGCCCCTACGTCGAACATGCGCGCTCTTTCAACTGTGGGAGTAGCCTAATGAGTGGTTAGATAAAGAAGAAAAGAAAAAAAGTAGACCAAGTAGTGGATGCTGCCGGCCGGTTGCCTTTTCTTTGGTCAAAGGTTCAATATTAGGGACAGTCTAAGATGGCTTTAGTAGCTTTGCCATAAACAAAACAAACAATTTACTAATATCTTAAATATATTTGTATGTTTATTAATATTTTCATATTTCACACAAGTCATTCTCTTTGCGATTAATTTGCTTGTGAAAGTTGCGCGTCAATGTTAATTTATTCACCATTGTTATTTTTTGTGATTTTCAGATATCATGAGCTATTTCAAAGCTTATATCTCTAATGCTAATTGTGAAAAATAAATTACACTAATTTTATACGTAGAAATAATAAAATGTTGTATTTTTATGCGCAAAGCTGCATAATGCGTGGATATTGTGAATTAAAGTAGGATGCAATTTTCGAAAAGTTAGTAGTTTTGAAATTGTTGTTCGGTTCCTTATTTGCGTTTTCGCTACTTTACTAAATACCTTGTTTTTATTAGAGCTTTACTCACACAATGGCTTTTTGTTTTTTACTTGAAAGTTTAACAGGCTTTATCGTAAACAGTCAGGATCGTGAGGCGACTAGTTGGGAGCCAGTTTTTCTGTAGAATAATTCACAATATTTAATAATAATATATATATTTCTTTGTTTGTTTATAGTTAAACACAAAGCTGCACAATGGGCTGTCTGTGTTCTGCCCACCATGGATATTGAAACCTGGTCTCTAGCGATATAAGTCCGCAAACATGCCGCTGTGCCAATGGGGGGGTCAATCCAGTAATTATTATTAGAAATGCACTTTTTAAACTACCACAGATATGGCGAGAATTATTTTCATATCTACTTTTCAAAAAAAAAAGTTATATATATGTATATAAAGGTGGAAGAATGAGGGAAGCAGAAATTTATCAATCTCTTTATATGTACGATTTATTAGGAATATTAAAGGCACTTTTGTATAAGATGATTCCAACTAGTAATAATTATCATACTTTCGCCTTTTATTTCAAACATTTTTATAATGTGTACGTGTATAGTGTATGTGATCCATCTTTTATATCGTGTACATGTATACTGTCATTTGAAATGTATTTAGGAGATTTTAGAGATTACACAAATGATATTTGATATTTTGGGGACAAATTATAGTTTTTGTTTTATCATAACATGAAAATCACTTCACACTCAACGAAATAGACTCGATATATTCACAAACAAATCTTTAGTAAAAATACTTCATTAAAAAATCTGATTTTTTTGTGTACAAGAGTTGTAATGTTTATTAAAAGTCTACCAATTTTGTGATGATATACATACTGCATTAAAAGTTATAGTATAAATACTTAATGTGTGCAAATGTGTATACAAACTTGTGTATTTTATACCAAGCCCATTGCGAAAGGGTTAAATTGAAAAAGAAAAGTGAAGACAACCATAATCAGTCTTACTTGACGTGTGTTAGACAGCACTGACTTTGAAACTCAAATTTTATTTTACAGTTTGCATCTTTCTGACAGAGAGAAGGCAAGAATGAACACACTGCAGATAATACAAGCAACAATGTATTTGGTAGATGGTACTGTCCACTTTTAACAATAATTTGAAACTACATAGTGAGCTCCTGAAAAATAAAATAAACAATTATTTAGAATAAAATGCCATATTTACTGTACGTAGATATTAATTCGTTATATACTAACAAGAAAAATGTAAAAAGTTTGAACAAGTACATCATGAATAAAGACCACAGTAAAATTGTATGAAATTTTTTCCTTAGTACAATACTTGTCTAAAATAATTAAAAAGTAAACTACTATCTCAAAGAAAAATTAAATATATTAACAAAATTGGTAGCATAAACTCTAATCACTTTCTTGCAACAAGAGATCCAATGACATCAGCCTTGTTACCTCTTGTATATTTTTAAACTTTCTTTTTCTCTGTTTGTAACTTAAAAAAAAGTGGAAGTGATTATGGTTTAAAACTGATTATGTTCTGCACTGCCAATAACTTTCCAATCATGGATTTTTATTATTTTGTGTCTTGTCTAAAGTGGATGTTGCAATGCCTAAATAAAAAACAGTGTAAATCAAATAATAACCTACATCTCCAGGATTTAACTTTATTACCTCAATATTTCACTATTACAGCTTCTATCGATTTCCTACCAATTTGCTAACCCAGTTGAATGATAAAAAAAACAAACTGTATTTTACAACTTGTAAGCATGCAACGTTGAATATAAAAACAGGTTTTTAAATGCTAAGTAAAGCTTTTTTTATATACTTATATTTTACTGTAGATAGAAATAGTAACTCTGAAAGTTAACATTTTATTAATCTTAACCCACTGACTGCAGATTCACCATGTATGGTATGGTCTGCCTCTGGCAGTTGAATGCAATTATGCTGTTTACAGCATACAGCTCACAAAAATTCTGCATGTGTTTAAAGCAGCCCCAGTTAAAGGGTTAATAAAAAGTGGATACTAGCTGCAATATGATGAAGAAAAAAGCTCATCATTATAACAATAAGATGGAACAATTTGCTATTTATTATTAATATTACATACTTAGGCATATTTAAGTTGAAAAGAATGGAATTTTTGTACGTGTAACATTCTTGGTAGTTATGGTTTGTTACTGGAAAAAATTTTAACTTTGCATTGCATTTTCTCTCTCATAGAGTTATTCAGTTATAAGGATTAAATTGGCAAGTTCTAAAATTTTAAGATTATTTTTATGCTTGCTTGTCACTAGGGATATTTGGTCACAAAAAATTTGCATTACCTAAATTAAACAAAAATTTTGTTTAAATTCTTAACAACCTATCTATGTATGTTAGATACCTATTTAGAGGTAATTCTGAGCCCCTTATAAAAGAAATTTCAAACCTTTTAATATATATATATATATATATTGGTAAATGGGTATGTACCAGTATGGCTATCACAGTTTTGTCTTCTTACAGAAACTTTATCACGATACAAATGCTTTACTTTCACCCAACAATAAAATGAACTTTTATCACAAGTCAGTGCCCATATTTTGACATATACCAAGTACTTATGTTTGATCATCCATAGACATTTTAACATTTCTGATAGTAATATACCCAGCATTGGAGATAATTAATGAAACAGTACAAAAAACAAATGACTTCAGTAAACTGGCTACAAATGACAGTTCCCCACCCCAGCCCCCAAAAAAATATTTCAGAGTAAACCTGCTATAAATTCAAAATAAATAGACTTACCATAATAGCATTGACAATATCATTGTTATTGTTCTTGAGAGCTCTAACAGCTTTAGTTCTGGAGACATTAGCTTGAGACATAACCAATTCAATATCTTTGCTTTCAACACCTGCCTCATCGACCTGTATAAATATCATTATTGGTTTAATAAAAGGAATTTACCTCTGCTAGAATACACATGAAAACAACAAAAACAAACTGGCAATATGTCATTGAAAAATCAAAAATAAGCAGATAGAACACATTAAAATATAGAAAAATATCTCCTCTCTTATTACAATATAACATCAAGCTTTAAAATCTGTTACATTTTATCTATGAACTGGAAGTACATTTGAGGAACACCATCACAATGTTTTTATTTTTTGAATGTATCACTGATTTGTCCACTGCATTCAACTCCCATGCATCAAAAGTAATATTCATTACAAATATAGGCTCACTGTGTGAGTTAAAGACATCTCATAACATCATACATATAATACAGAGACATTGGAACCAGGTAGCACCCCTACTTTCACATATTTGACTTATATAGCAACTGTAAATTATATTAATTTTCTAGGGGAGTATGCCCCCAGGTCCCCCTAGAATAAGTTGTCTTTGGCAGCATGTTAGCTGTTTATAGCAGCTCCTTATTCTTTCAATCTCTCATTGTAAAATTTGTTTTCAGTAAAACTTTATATTTTATCTGTTATTTTCTCTACCCTAACTATATGCAATTGGTCAACTTGACCAACCTCATTACCACCAGAAAAAAAATCAAAATAAATCTAAATTACCAATTTTTTTCTTTCTAGAATGACTTCAAATTGTAATGTGAAACTACATTCGTTTATCTTTAGTAGCTTTGAACTGGTAACAGTATATATCTATTTATACTTAAATTTTATTGTTATATTGCCCTTTGAACAACTAAATACTACTGTTCATGCCATTATAAGGTGTAAATCACTTGGGGAACATGGAGCTCACATAACGCTATCGAATTACATTTCCCATGAGCTACTCCAAGTCCGAGTTGCTTGCATGCATGCCTCATGACACATTTTTATTATATTATTATTTATTTTACCTAATCTAACCTTAACTAACCTTTAATTTTACATTTTAGTTACTTTTTTAATAAAAAATAAACATGGAAAATAAGAAATAAATTACTTACCCAAGTTCTTTTTTTTTTGCCATCGACAACACTTAACCATACGTTTTTTATACTAATGGTAGTAATGCATTAAATAACTTTATTTAATTAAATAATGCACCAAAGAACATAGAGTAATAACATGCAAAAAATCGACAATATCCTCTTAACTATCACAATTGTTCTGGCTTTCCAACTATGCGACAGAACCATTACAAAAATTCATCCAAGCTAGTTGTTATCTTTCCCATGAGAACAA